ACTCGTTTCACAGTTTCGAAAATGTAATTTCCCTGGATTATTCGTTACGACTTTTTTTTATTTCGATGTAAATTCTTGTACGTACCAAAAAAAATGTCACACTTTTACAGTGTACGAAAATAATATTTGATTGATTACGTTGTATGTCTAGCCTGTGATTACAAAAAAATATTGCAATTACGTTGAACGAAAATAACCCTTGCCCCCCCCCCTCTTTTATGTGCAAGCAAAATACCATGTAGCTATATAAAACAAGAACTACCCGGTATAAGACAAAATTCAATTCATATTGCAGCAGATATGCAACAAGTTATGTTTAATCACAGAAACACATGATAGAACGATTAGTTTTAAAAAAGTTAGAATTTATGAAGATATTTCTTAAAATCTTTTAAGGCAAGACTATCTGACTGAGGATCCTATTCAATGTAATTCCACGTCACAATTTTAATAAGGAAATCTTTCGAGAATAGCACTTCATCTCGGGTTCAGACTTAATACCCACACTCCAGCTTTATTGTATAAATAAACCATCCACCATCAATCATTACATCGTAGAAGCTATACATGTACTTACCATACATTACATAATCTTACAATGCATCCATTGTTGAATAGAAACCTGGAAACTGTGCAGCATTTCGCTTGCTATAGGCAAGGGTCACCATATTTTCCATTTGCATATGTACCCGTATGTATGGTCAGCCATATACAAGTATAAGAAAAGTATTTGTGTTTCTGGTCATTGCATGTATCTGATAAAAATTTCTACATGAATGGAGATACAGATATAAAATGCGAGTTGACACAGACGACAAAGAGTTTCTCGGGCATGACATGACAGATTAGTGGGAGGTGCAATGAATTTAATAAAAAACAAAATGAAACTTGTTTGTATGAATTACTATCAATCTATTCACATATTTCAAACTACTCTCCATCACAGACTAGAAAATGATCGATAAAGACACGTACATTGCACCTAAATATTAAAAATCATTTCCTTTTTAAAAAAGAATAGCCTAACTGAAAACATTATGTAACAAAATAATTTATAATTATGTCAGCAAAAGTAGGTTTATCAATATTTCAGTGAAACAATAATATGACACAATAAAATAGCATAAACATAACTACATAATTTTTACTCAATTGTATTGAATACATGTATCACTTGGCATGAACAGATAATTTTCAATTCACAGGAAAGTCTGCAAACGCAAAGTCTAACACATAAATAAAAAAAAATGATTTTGAACTTCAATTTCTTTTGTTATTGCTCAATGTTAAAATCCTGATCTTTCAGAAGGGAATATTGCGTTACTTCTACAAAATTGACCCTCATCAAATGTGTATAGCACATTATTAAGCGTGGAAATACCACAAAATACATTTGCATCTGTTGAATCCTAGTGCCACTATAACACTATGACCTTTGTTTGTCCTTACTGTTCATGTTTATTCCAAGCATAACGTGTGATCAGGCAGTGAACAGAGAATGGTCTATTGTATTAAAAAAAACAGTTACAAACACACTGTAATTTTTTCAAACACTAAAGATGGCTACTTGTGTATCATTTCTTTTTTGACTTTTTTGCATGTATCTTTTTGCAAGTGGATTTCATATGTAAACGCAGGCCACCCTTCTGTGTGAATTTCTTGCCACACTCGGTACATTCAAAGTGTTTGTCCATGTGTGTAAGCAAGTGAAGCTTCAAAGAAACCTTCAGTGCATATTTTTTACTACATTTTGTGCATACAAATGGTTTGTCATCAGAATGGCGAGTGCGCAGATGAGTGTTTAGCGTTTGTTTCAGAGTGAATGATTTCTTACACTGCTCACACTGGTATGGTTTCTCTCCGGTATGTATTCTACTATGACATGTCAATTTATATTTGGCTGAGAATGCTTTTCCACATGTATCACACTTGTGTGGTCTTTCTCCTGTATGCGTTGTCATGTGTGAGCTTAGTTCCCCTTTAGCTACAAACGCATTTTCACAAATCTGGCACTTGTAGGGTTTCACTCCTGCATGTCGTCTCATATGATAAAGTAGTCCTTTTTTTCGTGAGAATCCTTTTCCACAGAGCTCACATATATGGTCTTTTATTCCAGTGTGGATTTTTTCATGAGAATTCAAGGTATCTTTGTGGCCAAATGACGTCCCACAATATTGACATTTGTAAGGTTTTTCACCTGTATGTGTACGTGCATGATACTTCAAAGCCCCAACTTGCGTGAAACAATGACCACAATCTTTACATTCGTATGGTTTTTCACCAGTGTGTATTCGTGTATGTACAACCAGCGAGGACTTTGATGCAAAGCTTTTTTCACAGTTATTACACTGGAAACGTTTTTTGGTAGCATGTGTTTTCATATGCTGTTGTAAATTACTTTTAATGGAATACTTCTCACCACAGTCACACTTAAAAGGTTTCGCAACAGGAAGCAGTCCAATATTTCCAAGGATGGTGGCTTTTCTTCTGAAAAAGTTTTCCAAGCTGCATTTGTTTTTCTCGGATCGTTGTCCAGATTATTATCCATTATCAGTTGATTCTAGTTTTCAATAACGATATGATAACTGTATCTGCGTCTTGGTTACCCTCTACTTCGACCAATAGACTGTAAATAAATTAAATAAATTCAGTTTAATGTAATGCTATGTTTTACGAGACATTGTACAACTGCATTGTATGTGTATCTATTACTGGCTGATTAGTATTTACCTAATGAATAATACCTGACGCATGGACATGGCATTGTGAATTTAGTGAATTAGTTATGCATTGTATTTTCAGTGCACGTTTTTTTTGCATGTGCTTATTTTAGACATTTTTGATATACACTTTTTATTGACATGCATTTTCTATTTCTCACCCATCCACAAATGTTTACATCAGTCATTTAAAGACCAGCATGCAAATTAAAAACAAATCATCTCTAATGAACAAAAATGTGCATTGAATAAGTGTTGTTACACCATCAGTAATTGACTGAAAGTAAGGTTTTGGGCCATTTGACTTAGCCGCATTAGCTATAGCTCTCCACGTCTATTTCTATTATTATTTCATTTCAATTACGATACTTAGCCCTGAGTACAGTCCTGTAGGTTGGCCTCCTTCCGCTGATCATTCG